AGAGAGAGAGAGAGAGAGAGAGAGAGAGAGAGAGAGAGAGAGAGAGAGAGAGAGAGAGAGGGAGGTGACCGTACTTGCTGCCCTTGAGGGAGGCCGCCTTGGCTGGGCAGGGTGAGGAGAATAGCAGAGGCCCGGAGGAAGACGGTGATGGCAGGAGTTTTGTCTGCGACGGTTCCTGCCGCGGCCAAGTCAGCAGCAGCAGCTGCGGCATGTCTATCCTCCCAGAGGAAGAAGACCGAGGTGTCAGTCAAAGAACGAGGAGTTGAGGGTGGTGGAAGTCATGGCGTTGTCCTCTCCCTGCTTGGCACCTCGTCGCCTTCCACACACAGACGCCTTTCACAGCAGTTGTCCTGCGGCTATGGCAAAGGCGATTTCTTCTTCCACGGAGGCAATCGCCTGGTGATCGAGCGTTCTATGCCCGCCATACACGCGGCAAGGTCTGCCCGCCGCGTGATCAAAGCACAGGCATCCGTCGCCCCCTCTCCGTTGTCCTCCCCTGATGCAGCACCAGGCAGGGTCGGGACCAAGAGAGCAAAGATCAGCATCACCATGGGAGATAACTTGAATGACGGAATGCTGGGCAAGGCGAGGATGGTGATCGTCGGGGACGGCAAGGAAGTCCCAGATGGTCCCCGCGCCCCAGCTCATCCCGACCAGACGGGTTTGACTAGCAAAGCTGACGGGTTCGACCTGGGGTTCACACTGTGGAGGAAGGGCAAGACGGTGTCCGTGACCATCGATGATCTGCCCAAGAACGTCAATCCGACGGTGGTCCTTCTGTACAACGACTCGACCCACGGCAAGTGGTTTTTGAAGAAGGTGGAGATCGAGACGGAGGCATACACGAGCGATGGCGGCGGGGACAACGGCAAGATGAAGACGTACGTGTTCCCGTGCTTCTCCTTCGTCCCCACGGGGCGCAATCCGCGGATCATCTTCGAGGGCAGCTCCAAGCTGCCATGGCAGACTCCCTCGAGGCTGTACCACCTGTATCGCGCGGGAGCGCTCGATCAGCACTTCTCCGTGTACAAGTTCGACGAGTACGACGATCTGAGCAGCCCGTCGGACCTTGCCGATCGCGGCAGTCCCAACTTCCGGCCACGTCTGCGTCCCTATCCGAAGCGCCAGGCGACCTCCGTGTCCGGCGAGAGCGTTGGTATCCCGATCGACGACGACTTCGATCTCTCCAAGATGTACGACTTCGTCACCGAGGGTGCCAAGGCCACTGCGCAGGCCTTTCTAGCCGACCCTGCCCAGATGGCATCGAACCGGCCATGGCGCAGCGTGAGCGCACTGATCTCGGGGCTCTTCGAGGGAGTGGGGGCGCTGAGGAAGCCTGCGATCTTGAAAGCTGGCGTGGACTGGAAGTCGGACAAGGAGTTTGGCAGGCAGACGCTGGCTGGAATCAACCCCATGGAGATCACTCTGCTGAGGGACTCGCCTGCAGGTTTCCCGCTCTCCGACGCAGACGTCGGTGATGGCCTTCCTGGCGGCCTCACCCTTGCGCAGGCTTTTCGGGACAAGCGACTGTTCATTCTTGATTACTCCCTCTTGGAGCCCTTTCGGCCGTTAGTGAACCGCGCACCGGCAGCGGGCAAGGAGTGGGAGAGGTACCTCTACGCCCCTCGATGTGTGCTCTTCGTCGACAACGACGGGGATGTGATCCCCATAGCCATTCAGCTGGAGGCTGGCGGGAAGGTGTACACGTCAGCGAAGGACGCGGGCGTCGGCAAGTGGCAGTGGACGCTGGCCAAGGCTTACGTGGCCTCCGCCGACAGCAGCGTTCACCAAGTGGCCAGGCACTTCCTGCAATGCCATGCCGTCTGCGAGGTCTATCTGATTGCTCTCCGCCGGCGGGTGTCGGAGTGGCACCCCGTTTTAAAGCTGCTCATCCCCCACTTCCGCTTCACCATGAGCATCAACTACCGAGCTCGCACCAGTCTGATCAACGCGGGGGGGATCATAGAGAAGACGTTCACCGCCGGCACTGGGAGCATGGCCGTCTCTGCGGAGGTATTCAAGTCCTGGAAGTTCGAAGAGCAAGCTCTGCCCAAGGACTTGGAGAAGAGAGGGGTGGCTGACCCCCAGGTCCTGCCCTACTATCCCTACCGCGACGCAGGGATGCTGATTTGGAACGCCATGCACAAGTACGTGCTGACGTATCTCAAGATCTACTACGGGGAGACGGAGGCCTCGAGGGAGTTGATCGTTAAGGACAAGGAGCTGGTTGCATGGTGGACCGACGTGAAGTTCGGCAACTCCAAGTTCGAGTACTCCTTCAGCGACGTGGAAGAATGGCCGAAGCTGGAGACAGTAGAGGATCTGGCGTTCATCTGCACGACGATCATGTGGACAGCAAGTGCGCAGCACGCGGCCATCAACTTCAGCCAGTACGACTACTCCTCCTTCTCGCCCAACCACCCCTCGTGCGTGCGCAAGCCCATGCCAGAGAAGGTGGATGAGAAGGGGTTCATGGACGTCATGCCTCTTCCTCGTGACCAGGTCACGGTCCTGAGTGTCGTAGACTTGCTGTCGAGGTACTCAGACGACGAGGAGTATCTTGGGAGAACGGATCAGACGGCCTACGGGTGGTTGGTCGATCCCAAGGCTAAACTGGCGTACGAGCAGTTCGTCATCGACCTGGACAACGCTGAGAAAGCCATCGAAAGGTACAACGACCTTAACAAGAAGAAAGGCCGGCTGCCGTACAAGTACATGTTCCCCCGTACTAATCGTGACGATGCGGACAATGGTCCCGAGACTGAATATGGTACCGAAGGTATTCCCAACAGCGTGTCTATCTAAAAATAGCGTTTACGGTGATGAGACTTCATTCCTTCTTTCCTTCCTCCCTAGTTCATCCACTATATAATAGGGTTCTCTTCTTCTTGTTAATCGTCGTTTCTCTCCTCGCAGTCCCAGCCATCAACTGTGTGTCGTTTTCTGTGTTCTTCTCGTTACCTGACCATGGCCAGAAGTCTCTTCTCGGCTTAGGGTCGTTGTCCCTCACTCTTTTGATCGTCAACGTTCTTCTTCTCTTCTGTTCGTCTTTTGCTTCTTGTCTTGATTGAGCTTGGTAGGACATTGTGTTCTGTCGATCGTCATCGCGTTCTCGTGACCCCATTAGAGTCTCTCTCGATCGTTCTGTTCCTAAGCCTAAGCCTAAGCCTAAGCCTATATAGGGGGGGACCCTGCAAGCCTATTCTTGTTCTCTCAGCCTAAGTCGATCATTCTGTAGCCTCTGTTTTACCCTTCTGAATGCTATATTCTTCTCTCAATTTCACCTCTCTCTCACTACCTACCTACGACTACTCCTAAGCCTATACAAGGGCGGGGACCCTGCAAGCCTATTTTTGTCCTCTCAGCCTAAGTCGATCATTCTATAGACTCTTTTTTTTTCTTCTTTTCCTTTGAAAATATAGCCTCTGCTCTACCCTTTTGAAAGCCATATTCAAAGATCGTCAATGTATTCTGGGTGGGCTCCATTCCGGTTGCTTATCCCCGGCACGCATAAAAGCATACAAAAGGTGAGAATGCCAGGATGACAGGCAGCTACCTACCTACCTCTGCTCCTAAGCCTATACAGGGGATACACCCCTGAACTGGCCGAGCTCAGTTGGTACACCCCTCCCGAACTGAACTGTTAAAGACTCTTAACGTAAAGACCTGAGTTCGAACTCCACTGGAAGCAGTTGAGTAAAAACATTACCATAATTCTGAATAACCTACAGTAGGCCCCCCGTCCGCTCGATGATGATACCTCAAGACCCCGTCACCTTTTTTTTTTTTTTTTTTTTTTTTATAAGCCTGTACAGGTGGACCCCTGCTAGCATAGGTAGGTACCTCCCCCAATCAAGGGGGTGCATGCTGCCCCCTGCCCTGAT